CTGGTAGACGTTGCCGCTGGCTACATCAACATCTATACTCTCTTAGCCGCTGACCCTGACAAACGCTTTGAAACTGATGGTTGGACGCTGCCGCAATGTATGAACGCAGGTTTAGGTTTTGCCCGAAAGCACCGTTCCTGCTTGCTTGATGAGCGAAGTCAGGCTTGCAGCTGTGTCCTCCGCATGGGCCGCGCTGCTCCTTTTGACCATGGTCCATTGGTAGAGGGGCGCCCCACTGAGGAAGAAACTGTTGTTCCTGTCTCGCCGCCAAACAGCTATGCGTGAATCATTGCCTCCAGATATGTACTTTTGGACGCCCCCCCCACAAATCCTATCCGCAGCCTCATCGTGGCGTGGGGGTGAACGGTTTTGGACTGTTCCAAAAACGTACAATGCGGAGGGTGCCACGTCAGAGCCTGGCGAGCTACGCGTGGTTAAACTTCTTATCGCCGAAAACAGTAACAGTTATGGGCCTCATTCCCCTGAACCTGAGGGAACCACCGACAGGGCGACGTCGGCTGGGACCGCTCGGGCGAGGCTGCTAAAATCACAGGGCCAATGGAGATTTAAGTCGCCCAGGACTAGGATGACGATCTGTACTTTCAACGCACGGACGCTTGCATCGGAAGCTCACATCGAAGATCTGATGTTGCAAGCCAGGAAGATCAAGTACGACGTCATCGGACTGACCGAGACGAGGAGGCATCGCCCGCTACACGCCGTATACGAGACTGGAGAAGAACTGTTCCTCGGAACATGCGACAGCAGAGGCGTTGGCGGTGTGGGCGTCCTCGTCAACACGCACTTGGCCATGAACATCGATTCGTACGAAAGTCTGACGACCCGAATCGGACGTTTGCGATTGAGAAGATGTGGTTCAACTCCAGCTTTGACAATCTTCGTCGCCTACGCACCAACATCAAGCTACGACGAGGATGAACTCGAAGCGTTCTATATGGAATTGGAGAAGTTCTACAAGGAAGATCACACCTTCTTCAAGGTATCGTCGGTGATTTCAACGCTAAGATCGGACCAAGAAGAACGGCTGAAGAACTTCACATCGGAACTCACGGAACGGAGTGGAATGAGCAGGGTGAAAGGCTGTCTGAGTTTATCATGTCGACCCATCCATGGTAACTCGCAGTTCCAGAAGCCCTACTCTCTACGCTGGACATGGGAGTCTCCTGGTGGACAATTCCATTACGAGATCGACCACATCATCTGCAATCGAAGGTTTTGCCTGACCGATGTCGCTGTTGTCCCTAAGTTCTACACGGGATCCGACCATCGTCTCCTTCGCGCAAGATTCCGCTTTTCGATGCGAGGAGAGAGAGCCGCAAAGTTCAAGAAGAAGCCCCAAGACCAGTCAACTGGGAATTTCACTTCTTCTCTCGCTGGGTCGGATTGCTTTATTGACAAATCGACGAGAATAGAAGCTTGTTTGGCACATTTCACGATTGCGCCCAGAGAAGTAGAGGGTACGTAAGATTACCAACGAAGCGGTCTCATCTCTGGAAACTCTCGAGCTGATTCGCCAACGTGGAGCCGCACGAGCCGCAGGCAATTACCAGCTGACGTCTGAGCTTGCGAAGCTATGCAGAGAAGCGATAAAGGAAGACCTCAAGGAGAGAAGAGCAGCAGTACTGGTGGAAGCCGCAGAGGCTGGGAAGAGCGTACGCAACGCCCGCCGCGACTTCGCCAACTGTAAGACTAAGATGACCGCCCTCCGACGTCCGGATGGAACAATCACCGCATCCAGAAGGGCAATGGAGAAGGTCATCCACGACTTCTACTCGGATCTCTTTGACAGCCACGTCCACCTGCAACCATACCGCTTGGAGCAGGATGGATATGTCGTTCCTGCAGTTCTCCCTTCCGAAGTCCGACACGCCATCTCGTCGGTGAAGAATCGTACGGCACCTGGTCCCGACAGGATCAGACCCGAACATCTGAAGAATCTTCCGCCAGTTCTTGTCAAAACTCTGGCTCGACTCTTCACGCGCTACCTGTCGGAATGCAAGGTACCCACCTCGTGGAAAACCAGCAAGACTGTGTTGCTGTACAAGAAGGGAGACCTGTACGACATTGGCAATTATCGCCCAATCTGCCTGCTGTCTGTAGTCTACAAACTCTTCACACGAGTCATCCTGAACAGGATTGGCAGAACACTAGACGAAGGAGCCATGCGAGCAAGCAGGGTTTCGAAGAGGATTCAGCACGATCGATCACATCCACACGGTAACGAAGCTCATTGAAGTATCGCGAGAGTACAAGATGCCGTTATGTCTCGCGTTTATCGACTTGAAGAAAGCCTTCGACTCCGTTGAGACAGAAGCGGTTATCGAAGCCCTGGGCAACCAGGGTATTCCTACTCAGTACATCAGGATTCTTCGTGAGCTCTACAGCAACTTCACGACCAAGATTTCACCATTCTACAAGGAGATCATCATTGATGTGAAGAGAGGGGTCCGACAGGGCGACACCATCTCGCCCAAGCTCTTCAGCGCCTCTCTCGAGAACGTCATGCGTCAACTGGAATGGGAAGACATGGGAGTGAAGATCGACGGTCGGCAACTACACCATCTCCGCTTTGCTGACGACATCGTTTTGATAACGCCAAACATCGAGCAAGCGGAACGAATGCTGGCTGAATTCGACTGCGCGTGTGGAAGAATCGGTCTACGGCTGAACCTAACGAAGACGATGTTCATGAGAAACGGATTGGTATCTGATGCCCCATTCACGCTCAACGGAACGACCATCTCTGAATGCTCTAGGGCTTATGATGTGACCCTAGTCGTGAACTCAGAATATTCTATTCTATATATAGTCTGGCTAAGTTTTGTCTGTTTTGGGTGTGTGTCCGGTTGGTGGTGGTGTGTGATATGATTTTTTGTTTGTGTGTCTGTCTGTATGTGTGTTTGACCGGAAATTCATAACTTCCTTCAAAACAGCGATAGTGCGCTCAAATTGATAAGTGATGTAGGGGGCCGGGCAGGAACATTGTTGGTGGGTGGCAGGAAGTGATAACAGTTGATAAGATACCATAAGGAGCCTTAGAAGGAGTGGGTTGCCTAATTCATGACACCTGCCAGAGCAACGACGATAGTTAGGATGCCAAGAAGGTGAGATAGGCAGGCCAGGAGAATCATTGGTGGGTAAGGCGGGGAAGTGATAGCAGCTGATAAGATACTATAAGGAGCCTTAGAAGGACTGGGTTGTCTAATTCATAACACCGGGCAGAGCAACGACCGGACGTTGATTCAAGAAGATAACTGTAGGGGGTTAGTATGAGAACACTATTGGTGAGGTGAGGAAGTGACATGCATCTGATAAGAATACTCATACGGAGCCTTAAGAAGGAGTGGGTTACCTTAATTCACGTGGCGTGGGACTGCGCAGCAACGACAGAGATGTTGGTTTCCAAGAATAATGATAGGCGGGGGACGGATGGCACGTCTTGGTGGTCGCGCAGGCAGTGATAAGAGCTGATAAGATACCTTGAGGAGCTTCAGAAGGGGAGGGTGACCTTAATAACAACGTCAGCCCCAGCAACAACGGGACGTCGGTTCCAAGAAGTACGACAGGGGGAGGGCAGGATGGGAACATTAGGAAGCCACAAAATTCAATGCACGAGTTGTAGCACACTGGGGAACTTCCCTCCAGTAAGCAATTCAGAGGTGGTTAGGGTACATTGGTGGTGGGATATAAGTTGTGATATAGTGACGTAGGCAGGTCAGTAACCGTGCTCCACCTTTACTGGCCGCGGTTGCGACTGGATTGTTTGATCACCGTGGTCCGCTTGCAATAATGGGCGATAATAGCCTCAGTGGTTTCTGAGTCCTTAGCGGTATAGGTAGACGCTAAACTTCCGAGTTTCGACAAAAAGTGTAAAAGCTCAAAGTTGTTCGCCAGTGGGAATGATAAGGGCCACCAACAGACGGATGTGAGAGCTGCTCAACGGAAGTGTTATGATGTAAGCACATTTCACTATGATTTCGATATTGTTACCTTTCAACCGCTAAGCCGTTCTATCGCCAACGAATGATGAGTGTTTAGTCATGACGATAAACACCCTGGGAGTGGTGAATCGTCTCATTAAAGAGGAGAAATATGGAAATATCATGAAATGGGCCGAATTGTGAAACATAGGAATTAGGCCAAGTGTTAGGGGTCAACACAGAAATCCTTTCATAGATCAGTACCACAGACTGAACCATTCGCGCAGTAGTGCGCGTCAGCCAAACTGGTGATGAATGACCTAGCTCCAGAGCTGAGCAGGAGGAAGCGAGCGGCTTGGGGAGCCTTCAAGAACATCGAGGGAGTAGCGAAGAAGACGAAGAACACCAAGCTCCGTGCCCACCTCTTCGATTCCGCGGTCCTTCCTGCCTTGACGTACGCCTCAGAGACTTGGACTCTACGAAAGCAGGATGAACATGCGGTCGGTGTTATTCAACGCGCCATCGAAAGGGCGATGCTCGGAGTTTCCCGCTACACGCAAGTGAGAGAGGGAATCCGGAGCTCCGCACTCCGCCAACGATCGAAGATCAGAGACGCCGCCGCATTTGCCAAGGTTTCGAAGATCAGGTGGGCCGGACACGTCATGCGTTTGAGGACGGCGCTGGGACGCAAGAGCAATTCACCGCGACTGGAGTTCCACCGACGGGATGTCCAAGCGAACGCCTGAGATGCGCCCTACGCGGTGGGTCAGATTTCTTCGTGAAAGCTCTGAACGAATGGTATGAAGTTCATCGTGTCCCTCGAGCTGAGAGAGTTCATTTGGCAACTCTTGCACGTTGCAGGGACGAATGGAAGAGCGTTTAGTGGCATCCGGCTCGAGGACAACTCTGATGATCAAGGAGCACAGGTGAGGTGATATCAGGTGCATATTCTTTGGATACTTCAGAGACCTTCTGATGGAATGGGTGGTGCAGCGCAGCTTTCTCTCCATTCGGGACTATCTGAACCGCACAGATCAGCGTGACGAGGCAACACACATTTATCTGCAGCACTAATCTGGGTTTCACCTGCTCAATGAAGTTACACAGCATGAGTATGGCCACACTTTTCTCTTGAACTACCATATTCCAAAAATCTGGACAAGTTTTCGGTAGAGGAGCCTGAAATCAGTTGGACAGTGCTTTAAACTTCTTAGTATGCGATGGATTCTTTCCCAGTACAGCTGCTCCAAGAGCTTGAAGGGATCGTACCTGAGTACAAATGCATACCTTTTTAGCGCAGCTGACGCGGTGATTCGAAACATAGTTCGCGATGAAGATAGATACTGTAGCATTTCCAATTGGTCAATTATACTACCGGAAATTGTGCGCAAACAACCGACATCCTGGAAAATGGGGCATTGCGCGCTATTTCATCTCAACGATGATAGACCTTCGACTAGGGAGTCATAGTGGAGGCCCCAAGAAAGTTAGTCACATCTAGCTCATCGAAAGGAACATACTTGGTCCGTTAGCATTTTGAAACGTTACAGATAGTTCTAGAGTTTCGGAGAAGCGGATAATTGCCGGCTTTTCTCCCCCCGCCCCCCCCCCACCTCCCCAACTAATCTCAATAGCGCTTGTACTGAAGAAATAGCGGCAAAGTGAGCTTTTTTTATCTTTCAAAGATGCTTCACTTGAGACAGTGCTGGAAGGGTAAGTGGTTATTCTGAGCAACCAATTTTCACAGACTTGTCCCACTTCAATAGCTACAGCCTTGTGAAGTCCCTGAACTGGCTGTTTGTTAGCTTCTGTTTGCTTTTTTCTATCACAAGATGGTCCGTACTAGCTTCGATGTGTACCATCCTACTAGAGCGTATTGCACGGCGATCGTGTGGGCGGAGTGATTTGAACTATTGCATTTGCCTCATTAGTGCCCTCTTCTCGAAAATGCAAGGAGCAGTCAATTAGAACAGCGCGCTTGTTAAAGTAACCCCACCCTTGGGATCAGCGCGGAATAAGCCTCGAACTTCAGTTTTTTGCTAATCTTTTCTATTTTGAATGGACATAATTTTGGCAACATTCACAAAGCTTTTTCACACGTTGCAGTTATTCTAGTAACATGCACACCTTATATCTGTTGCGGCCCAATGGATTTTGAAGCACAAATTCAGTCATGAGATTGAAGTCGTTCATACGCCTCATTCCTTTGAATTCAGCGATGAGCCCCTGGACACCCTTCCGGAGCGTTTCTTCCACGAACACCTTTACCTGAAATTATGACTTTTTGGAAAGTGTTCATATACCTAGTCGCCTATCTGTAGCAACTTTTTACAGAGTAGCGGCAGTCAAACCTGCATTTTCTTCGCAACTGATTCGTCAGCATCTTTTCGTTCCGATCCTGCAGGGGTTTTTGGCCTGAAAATCACTCACTATGTCAGCCCAGGAGCGGAGGTGGTGTAGTGACAAGTGGCGCGCTTACCACTCGCGCGGCGCCGGGTTCGAATCCCGGGCCCAGGCCAACCAAGCCTTCTACCCTCCGGGGACGGTAAATTGGTACCAGATTCGTCTGGGAGGATAAAACACTGACTTGTACATCGGCTGGCCACCGCAAGTCATTGTATAGGCCACATCGCATTCAATAAGCCACTACGATTCTGAATGGAAGTAGAATGCGTGCCGCATCCCACAAAGGGATTGATCAACGGCGAAGACTTTATCCTTTATCCTTTTATGTCGGCTCAGTTCTGCGATGGGGGGGGCATTTTGCACTTTCGCTGCTCCCCTAATTCCGGTTTGCGAGTCTCACTCACTTGGAACCTGTGAACTCTTGTGAACCTGGTGCGAGATCGTCAAGCCACCATGGTAAAACCTGTCAACTCTTGTAAGCTCATGAAATAGTTGTCCAGATGGGTGGACACCCAGGAAAGAAACAGCAAAAGTGCAAACTGACCCTTCCCCCCCCCCTTCCTCCCTCGTCACTCAACTGCGCCCACTAACTCATATAATTGGTAAAAGGGGAACAGTGGCATCGACACGATCACTGTAGACACTGCGACATTAGGATCACATCTACTCCTGGCAACCCTGATTCTATCCGAATTCGCTCTTCATGGACCTTCTCGCTGCTTCTAGTACGGATCCTAAGTCTTACCGTAGTGGTTGCTGTTTCGACGGGGACCTTTTCTGTTCTTTTGGCTTCGCCTCTTCCTCTACAGTAAGTCTTCCTTTCCTCTTTCGTGGTTTTCTCCTTCCTTTTTTACCACTAAAAGAAAACATGAAGAAACGATCAACTCCTAGCACTGAAGTATTTATAGTCAAAGCTGAGATTCTTCGTATTTATCTATATGTAGCGGAATTCGGTGCTATCAGGCACCTTGGCACTCCTGTTTGAAATCTTTCCTCACCTTATCCACGGTCTCCTAAGTCGTTTAGGAGCAAAGTGAGAAAAGTTATGATTTCACAAGGGTGGTTCTGAGAACAGAAACTAAATTATTACACTTTGAAAGGCTGAGTGGCGATTAAGTGATTTTTGTATTCCTATTTCCTGTACTGTTGTATTTTTGACTGTGTGTTAAGTCGCTTTACATTGAATGTGTTTTGTTATTACTATCAAGAAGTTAGTATTATTTCTTAGCGCTAGTTGCAGCACCATTGGCTAATCTTGTCTGTTCGCTTGTTGAGCTGGGTCTCAAGTAAAGTTGCGGACCTACTCATTTAGTTCTGGTATACGCGAGTCCTATTTGAGTGCGTTGCATGGACCTTGCAGTGTTGGCGGCCACTGCGGTTTCTGCAAATCTGATTTACCCCCTCTAAAGCATCCGCACACAACTTATGCTTCTTTCCACAAGTCTGAATGTGTCTAGGTTGAACATAGGAGATTTTTTCTCCTGTTGGTGTTTCTTTTTTATGTGTGGTGCCTGCTGTCAATGAGAATGCCGATAATAAATTCGCTGATTAATATATAATATTCCGCTATGTGTGGTCTGTGTTGTGAGGTGTGCTGTGTGTGTGTGTGTGTCACGAAATTCATAGCGAGCGTCGCAGAAAAGATAGGATGACAGTTCCAAGAAGTGATATACATGGCAGGACGGGAACACTTTTGGTGGGTGTCAGGAGGTGATAACACTTGATAAGATACGATAAGGGGCCGTAGAAGGGGAGGGTGACTGAATTCGTAGCGCAAGTTGCAGCAGGTGTGGGACCGTGATTTCAAGGAGTGATATACATGGCAGGACGGGAACACTTTTGATGGGTGACAGGAGGTGATGACACTTGATAAGATTCGATAAGGGGCCTTAGAAGGGGAGGGTGACCGAAATCGTAGCGCAATTTGCAGCAGCTGCAGGACCGTGATTTCAAGAAGTGATATACATGGCAGGACGGGAACACTTTAGGTGCGTGGCAAGGGTGATAACACTTGATAAGATTCGATAAGGGGCCTTAGAAGGGGGGGGGGGTGACCAACATCTAGCGCAAGTTGCAGCAGCTGCGGGACCGTGATTTCAAGGAGTGATATACATGGCAGGACGGGAACACTTTCGTGGCGATCAGCGGTCCCGGGAGGTGATAGCACTTGATCAAAGAGTCCGAAAAGGGGCCTTAAGATGGGGGGGGGTGACACACACAACATCTTAGCGCAAGTTGCAGCAGCTGCGGGACCGTGATTTCAAGGAGTGATATACATGGCAGGACGGGAACACTTTTGATGGGTGACAGGAGGTGATGACACTTGATAAGATTCGATAAGGGGCCTTAGAAGGGGAGGGTGACCGAATTCGTGGCAAGTTGCAGCAACGGCGGGACCATGATTTCAAGTACTGATATGCCGTAGGGTGGGGCTGGCAGAAGCTGATAACAGTTGATAAGATCCGATAAGGGGCCTCGGAAGAGGAGGGTCATCAAATTCGTGGCGCAGGTTACAGCACAGTGGGAACTCAGATCCGTGAGGTGATATAGGGTGTGGGACGGGAACATTATTGGCGGGCGACAGAAAGTGATAACAGTTGATAAGATACGGTAAGCGGCCTCGGAAGGGGAGGGTCATCAGATTCGTAACCGCAGGGTTACAGCAACAGTGGGACCTCTGATCCGAGAGGCGATACAGGGTGATATGATAGTGATGTTATTGGCGGGTACGGAAGTGATAGGAGCTAAAATTGACAAGGTAGCATGGGAAAATCCGCTTCACCGCTCACAACAACAATGCGATCGATATGACTCAAGTATAACGATCTCAGTGATTCCAACAGAACTCATTCCTCACTGCTTATTAGTAACGACATCGTGTACGACCGCTAAGCCAGCTCTATTCCAAATGCATGTGGTTTGTTTACAGAGATGTTATGAACAGCAGCAACTGACTTTATCACTCTTACCATTATCTTCCATCAGCAACTTCAGTGAGGGCCATTTAAAGGGTTCCACTGCTGAATGCGGTAGTGCATTCCAAAGCAAGACGCTTTAGGAAGACAGATTGCATAAATTATAGGCTGCTTCAGTGGCTGTCCAAACAGGCTGCACTATTTCCGTGTAGGTTATGAACGTACCAGTCGGATCGCTGGCTAAGGCCGGCTTTCCTCCTTCTGTGATGCGGGGGGGGGGCGCTGCTGCTGCTTCTGCGCCTTGACGGAACAAGCGCTGCTTTTCAGTTCTTGGCTGATGCAGAAGATTCCTTTGAACAGTGTGGTTGGTCAACGATCCTTAACTTAGCACGCCATGTCACAGAAGGAGGAGCGCCCGGCGACAGCCGGGCGATCCGACTGGTAAATCATAAATCATAAATCTCTAATCACGGGCCCCGCCCCTAAAAGATAGAAGGGACGTGGCTGGCAAAACAGAACATGTTCTTTGTCATTGTGGTGCCATAGATCACGAACGATACAACACGATTTCGCCTTGGCAGGGACCACTCTACATTTCTTTGTGAGCGCTACAGTAGTCTTCATATTCAAGTGCAGAAGGAAGTCAACCTTCATGCATGAAGAAAGCAGCGTTAAGACTCCGCGATGACGCGCTCTAACGCCGCGTCGACGCGATACGATTGCAACAGCAACTTTATGGACGCGGACCGCGCTCCAACTTTATGGTCGCGGACCCAGCCGCAGGCGGGAATCGATGGGCACCGTTCTGAGAGAGTATAGGATAGCGAGATAGAGAGGAGAGAGAAAGAGAGAAAGAAAAGAGAGAGCAGGCGCTGCTCCCACGCAATCTGCCCTTCTCCCGAAGCCCTAGCGGCCAGTACTGACCGATACCAGTTCGCGTGATCAGGCAGCAGATACCCTCCTGTTCCCTAACTTTCTCAGTGCGCTAGCGGCAGGTGGCGGTCAATACCCGTTTGCGGCCGCATTCGAATCGATAGCCTTGGAGCGCTGTTGCAATAGTAGCGCGTTACAGTGAGTCGTCGCGCGTGGAAGCGCGTAAGGATGTCCAAATGATCACCCTCTGTCTGAAATCGAGGCTGCTATAGTTCTCATGCCAAACTACACAGTGGCCACTCCTGTGGCAGACTGTTCCCGGCTTTCTTCGTTAATGTGTCAGATGGTAAGCCTTCTTCTTCTTCTCCCTAGCGTTAGTCCCGCGCGTCGCCACTTGTATCCACTGCATTTTCTGCTGCGGCTTTCACTTCAGTGAGGTCCCTCTTGATGACGTCCCTCCATCTTTTCTTTGGGGCTCCTCGTGGTCGCTTGCCCTCTACTTCCAATGCCTTCCTTATTGGGTGGTCTTCAGGCCTCCTCAGTACATGACCGTACCATCGCAGTCGCTGCTCTCGTGCCTTCAGCTGGATAGGAGCCGTCTGTGTGACCGCTCTGACGTCCTCGTTTCTGACTCTGTCGAGTCGTGTCCAGCCGCAGGCCCATCTCAGCATCCTCATTTCAGCTGAGTGGAGCTGCCTTTCATGGTTCTTGCAGATAGGCCAGCACTCACTGCCGTAGAGCATTGTAGGCCTTACCACCGCCCGGTACACCTTGCCCTTGAGCGTTCTCGAGCACCGCCGGTCGCACAGGATGCCAGTGGACTCCCTCCATTTCATCCAGGCTGCGTTGATTCGGGGTCACCGCCCACGCTGCCATCAGCTGCTAGGTTGCTCCCCAGGTACTGGAAATCCTCGACCCTTTCGATGCTCTCGCCATG